TGCACATGCATGTAATAGTATGTGTGAAGAAATATATACATCTTTATTCACAATTTTCACAAGCTAAGGCAATGAATAAAAAATAATAATATTAAATACAAACAAACGATTAATAATTTAAAACCAAACAAAAAAAAAGAATAATTCAAAACTAATTAATGGCTTGACTCTTAGAGTCCCTAGTAGGGTCACCAAATTGTCATAACGTATAGATCCATAAATTTATAGCTAAACACAACATAAGGAGACACCATTAATATTTTGTCTAGGTGTGATTGGCCACCTAATGAATCTATCATATTAAAGATATCCTAAGCTTGACTAAGATCCCCGAAAGAATATGTTTTGGTCTACTAATAAGAACATGGTTCAAGAGTTTGATTACATATAAAGAAATTTATAGCACCCTTACATGCCCATTCGAAGAATAGTACCATTTTAGTTTAAATTATCCTAAAGTCTTGATTCTAATGGTCTTTTATTAACATTTAAATATTGGAAACAATTTTTAGGATTCTCCATCAATTTGGTAGAATCCTTAAAAATACTTATTCATCTCAAAAGTAATCAAAATTTTCTTTTCTTGAAGAGGCTTTGTCATCGAAAAAACTTAATCATTTTTATTTATCGAAAGTATATCTAATTCTTTCACCATTTGAGCCTAAATTAGAAATATTTTCTCACCTAAAAAGATCTTAAATAATTATCTATTTGTGATTACTAAGAATTTCATCATTGAAATTTTATTTTTATTTCTAAATTTTTCACCATTTGAGCTTATTTAGAAAAATTTCCTACAAGTTTCATAATCTTTGGAAAGAAAATAACATGACAATTATTTTTTAAAGTTTCATTTAAATTCTTTCACCATTTGGATTGAATTTAGAAAAAAACTTTTTACTTAGAAATCTTATGAAAATTTAACTATTTGTGATTTTTCCTCAATATTTCATTATTGGGTAATTGTCAAATATTTTTACACCATAATTTCTTTAAGTTATATTTTAATTTGGGAAAGAACACAATAACTTTCATTAAAATTTCATTTAAATTATTCTATCATTTAGATTAAATTTGGAAAAAAATCTCTTACTTAAAAATTTATAATAAAAAAAACCATTCTTGACTTCTTTTTATTGGGGTTAACTTTCATTAGTTTTTAAGAAAATGTTATTTAAATTATATGGTGAAAAAATATTGAATTTATAAATTACTTAATTTATTAATTTTATTATTAATGAACTTATGAATAAAAATTATTGGTATATGTTGTTTTTAATTAAGTCAACTACATCTCTAATTAAACTTTAAATGGCCCTACATCATATCACTAATAAGAAAGAATAAAAATATGATAGATAAAAAAAATCTTATAAAATTAATGGTCTTATGACTACGTAAATTATGTACAAAAAAACAATGGGCCACCACAATATAATTAATATAATTGACCAAAAACAGTTGCAAACAATTGTCATCAACACAATTGTCTTTAGGAATAGTAACAAACAAAGGACAGTAATAAAGAATGGTAGCAAAGAATGGTTTTTAGGAATAGTTTACTTGTGACAACAATCTCAAAGCTTTATTTATTTATTTATTTATTAAAAACTATGTTGCCAGACCCTTCCTCTCGCCAATTTCCTTCGTGGGTTTCGGCTTTGAATCCCTGAAAGTTGATTTCTTATGCTAGGCTCTTCCGATTTGTTGTTTTGCTATCTACGTTTGCTTTGATTACTTCCTGCTCTTAATTGTTGATTGAGGTTTTCGACCTTGTGCTTTTGGGTCTTAGCTTTGCTCAATATTGTAGGACTCTGTGAGGCTGTCTTGGATATTGGCTGAAGGTAGTGGCAGAATCGACTTGGCTAGAAGTTGGTGATGGTGGAATTGTGGTTCAATTTGAACTTGGTGTCCTGGGATTGAGCATTAGGATGATGGGTTTTCTTGTCTCGTTATTATGCTCCACTTCTATGATTTTCTCTGCGGATTGTTTTCTCTGTTTTACTGCTGATTTGTTGTGTATATTCCTGTTGATGATTAACATGTTTATTTATAAGCAAGAATCCTAGTCCAAACGGTATTTCAACTCAGATTAAACACTTAATAGAATCTATATGATAATTGGATTAGGACTAAATTTCATTATAATCTTTTTTAAAAAAAAAAACCCTTTTATCCAACCGATTGAATCCTCTCAAGTTTCTACCATTTCTTCATTTTTTTTAACAGATAATAATAAGATAAACTAATCATAAAATAATAGTAGAGATAATTACAAAATAAATAAATATAATAAAAATAAAATATCAACAATTAAATAACGATAATAATAATAGTTGGGTCAGATTTAATTCAGGTTTGATCAAATTAGGCCCAGTCAATTCAAGTCTAATCTTTTCAAGTCTAATTATTTCCGATCCGGATAAAATAAGATATTTACATTTACTATTAAATTATCAATTATTTATTAATAAGTTATCATTAATTTACTATTAAGTTATTAATAATTAATAATTAAATATTATTTATTTTTATTAAGTTATTCTTTATTTGCTACTATATTATTATGCATTTATAATTATATTATAATTGATTTACTATTAAATTATTATGCATTTATTATTATGTTATCACTTATTTGTTACTAAATTATCATTGATTTATTAATAAATTGTTTATGATTTACTATTGAGTTTATCAATTAATTACTACTAAACTAAAACTGATTTACTATTATTATTAATTTGGTACTAAGTTATTATTTATTTACATGATTAGCAACTAAATTATCACTTATTTTCTATTAAGTTATCCTTAATTTAATACTATAGTATTATGTATTTACAACTATGTTTTAATTAATTTACTACTAAGATATTTATGATTTACTATTATATTATTAGATATTTATTATTATGTTATCACTGGTTTATTACGATCTTATCAATTGTTTACTACTAAATTATCTATATATTTATTAAGTTATTACTAATCTATTATTAAGTTATCCATGATTTAATACAAAATTATAACCAATTTAGTACAAAATTATTTTTAATTTTTTTCTGAGTTATTATTGATTTACAACTAAATTATTAATGATTTATAACTACTATATTATTTTGTATTTCCTACTATGAAATAATTAATTTACCATTAAATCATAAATAATTAATTTAATTGTGTAAAGCATATTAATAGGTCTAATTTGTTATAAATACAAAAGTATTCATATATAAAAAAACTATTTTAAGCCCTTCAATACTTTGCCTTAAGTGGTACATGAATGAATTAACCAAGAAAAATTATTTAATAAGAAAATAAAGAAAACGTAGTCAATATTTTAATGTAATAAAAATTATTAAATAAAGATAAATAGAGATAATATAATAAATTATCACATTTTTACATATGATATATATATATATATATATTAAGCATCTTCTTAATAATAAAATCTCCTAGTTTAGATAGATTATAAAATCTAAAGTATGTATATGTTTTGTGAGTACTATAAATATTTAGCTAAAATTTAAATAACGATTTATAATACTATTGGCTAAATTCTAAATTGAATACTTTTTATATATTGATTGAAAAAAAATCAGAAATCATGTTATACTTTTTATACTTTTTCATATATATTGTAATGCATGACGTACTGAGTAATAAAAAAATTAATTTAATAATTTTAAAATTTATATGAAAAATTAATTGATTCATTTATCTTATTTTTGTGTATATATATAATTTAACTTTATCAATTGAATTAATTTCTAATCTTAATTATGAAACTGTGTAGATAAATATATTTTTATTCTACATCCTCACACTTCAAAATTTTAACATATAGTTTAATTTGATATGAATTTTATTTGTAAATTTTTAGTTGGTTTAAATTTAAATAACTAAATACTAAAAGTTTATATTTAATAGTAAATAATTTTTATTAAACAAATAAAAAATGATAGAAAATTAAAGGCAAATTTATTATTTTTAAAAATTTTTAAAGATATTTATGTCGTTTATGTTTAATACTTTTAAAGTTTACATTTTAATATATAGATGATATATGAATTAATTTTCCATTGTTCTTTGGGCATTTTACCCACTATAAACCCATACCTAGTGTTTATACCCATCAGATATTCAAAAATAATTTGATACTAAATTAAGAATGTTATGAATTTCATCATTGTTCTTTCGATATTTTACACACTACAGACTAAATAGCTAGTAATTTATCCATCGAATTATATCAATAAAAGTAAATTAATGTTCAAAATGCAAAGAAATAACGAATGAAAATTGAAGACGAATAACTTCAGGAATTAAAAGGCAACAAAAGATCGAAAAACAGTAGAATACTTCAAAGGGCAACAAAAGATTTGATTCTCTTTCCATTTTCACAACTTGTTTGAATTTCTAAAAGTTAGGTTTGATATGTTTACGGATGCAAAGATAGCTAAAGTCTAATGTGTTTTAACGTTAGCTAGCCAATAACATCAGTTAAAGTTAATCTACATTTATTACCATGTTGTTAATAATCTATTAGATTAATTTTTTTTCCTTTCTTGTTTGGATCATATGAAAGCGGCAACCTGCAAGTATTGATCATCAGAAAGCTACAACTATTGATATTTTTTTAAAAAAATAATAAATATTTCACTTGGGTACAATTTGAAGAGCGGCAAAATTTTAGATGGATACCTTTACCAAACGCCATTGACATATTTGATATAAGAAAGAATTTAAACAAATTGATGATGCGACAAAATATACTACATTGGAACAAATATGCCATAGCCGGCAATCAATCACATCATTAACCTAACTTTGCTTTTGAAAAGCCAAGGGAAAGGACCCGGTCCTGCACGGCACCATAAAATTAGAGACTTACTATTAGTTATCACAACTTTCTTTCAAAACCACCTGAAATTTCTCAAAAAAAAAAAAAAAACAAAGATTTGTGTTTCCTGCTGCGAAGATAAAATCAAGAAATGGCTGAAGGCGTCTTGTTCGATTTGGCTGGACAACTCTTGGGGGGTCTGGCATCATTGGCTTACCAAGAACTTGGTTTGGCTTGGGGAGTCAAAGCAGAAATCAGCAAGCTTAACCACACTGTTTCCTTGATCAAAGGTGTGCTTCGTGATGCGGAGGAGCAACAAAGGAACAACAACCATGCAGTAACGGAATGGCTCAGCCAGCTCAAAGATGTACTTTACGATGTGGATGACTTGCTTGATGATTTTTCTACTGAAGCTTTGAGGCGAAAGATAATGAGCGGGAATGAAATGGTGAAAGAGGTACGCATTTTCTTCTCCAAATCAAACCAGCTTGCATATAGTCTCAAGATGGGTCATAGAGTTAAAGCCATTAGAGAGAGACTAGATCAAATTGCAACTGATAGAGCCAAATTTGACTTCACTGAACGCCCTATAGAGTCACTGGTTGAACTTAGGGAGAGGGACCATACTTATTCGTTTGTGCGTGCAGAAGAAATAATTGGAAGAGATGATGATAAAAAGAAAATTGTAGAACAGCTGCTACAAATCGAACCTGAAGAAAATGTATCACTTGTTCCCATAATAGGGATTGGAGGATTAGGAAAGACCACATTAGCTAAAATGGTGTTCAATGATGAAAACGTCGGGAAACATTTCCAGCTAAAAATATGGGTTTGTGTCTCAGAGAAGTTTGAGATAAAAGTCGTTGTGGAAAAAATCATCGAGGCTGCAACTGGAAGAAAACCGGAAAACGAAATGGAAACACTGCAAAATATTCTTCGAGAGAACATTAATGGAAAGAAGTACTTGCTAGTCCTAGATGATGTATGGAATGAGGACCGTGAAAAATGGCTCAATTTGAGAAATTTGCTATTAGATGGTGCAAGGGGAAGTTGGATTGTTATCACTACTCGTAGTATGCGGGTCGCAGAAATCACAGGCACAGTTTCACCACATGAGCTTGAAGGATTGTCAAAGGGCCAATCTTGGTCACTGCTGAAGCAAATGGCATTTAAAGAACAAAGCCACGAATCCAACAGGTCAGACTTTGAAGCAATTGGGATGGAGATTGTTGAGAAGTGTAAAGGGGTCCCTCTTGCCTTAAGGGCGATAGGAAGTGTACTATTTAACAGAACAGAAGCAGAATGGTTAAAGGTGAAGAATAATGTTGTTAAGTATATAACTCGACCAGAAAGTGGCATTATGCCAATTTTAAAGTTGAGTTATGATCATCTTCCAACGCATTTGAGGCAATGTTTTGCTTATTGCTCTTTAATTCCGAAGGACGCTGAGTTTGAGGTTGAGTATTTGATCATGGATTGGATGGCCCAAGGGTTTATCCAGCCACTAAGTGGAGACGAAGATCTAGAAGATGTTGGGCATGAGTATTTCATGGATTTGCTTTGGAGATCTTTTTTTCAAGTTGCAGAAGAAGATGATTCGGGAAATGTGAAGAGATTCACAATGCACGATCTAATGCATGATCTTGCATGCTCTGTTGCTGGGACTGAGTACTGCATTGCAAGTCTAGAAGCAGAAAATGCAGATGGAAGAACTCGCCATGTGTTATTTGAAGATGAATTAGATGCTTCTTGGAAAATTCCAAGCACTTTGCTCAAATCAAATAGACTAAGGACAATATTTCTTCCGAATGGCACCTTGAATCAATCCATTTGCAATTCACTTATTTCTAATTTTAGGTACCTACGCTCTTTGAATTTGAGTTTAGGTATTGAGAGGTTACCAGATTCCATAGGCGAATTGCAACATTTAAGGGCTCTTTATCTTCATAGAAATTATTTTCTTAAAAAACTGCCTGGTTCTTTATCTAGGCTACAGAATTTGCAAACATTACGTCTTTCTGGTTGCTATGCTCTCGAAAAATTACCGAGGAAAACAACAAGGTTAGTTAGCCTCAAATATCTTTATATTGATCGTTGTCCTAGGTTGGCTTACATGCCACGTGGACTGGGGCAACTAACTTGTCTGCGAAAGTTAAACCAGTTTGTTGTGGGAAAGAGAGGCAAGGAAGTTGGTGAGTTAAGGGAATTGAATGGACTGAACAACCTCAAAGGAAAAATAGATATTTCTTCTTTACAAAATGCTATTCCAGAGCCTGGATCTTCTTGCTTGAAAAAATTGAATTTGAAATACTTAATATTGAGCTGGGATAGAGTAGATGATGTGAGAAATGAGAAGCATGAAATGGTTTTTGAAGGCCTCCAACCACACCCAAATCTAGAGAGGCTTGAGGTGTATGGGTATCCGGGAAGCAAGATTTCTAGATGGTTGTCTTCCATCACCAGTTTAAATAAACTTATTTTAAAGAATTTTGTTGAATGTAAGCATCTGCCACCATTGCATCAGCTCTCTTCCCTCAAATTTCTTTGGCTTTCAGGATTTAAAGTTTTGGAGAATGTGTCTGAGATTGAAATGCAAAAGGAGTATTCTTCAAAATCAACAAAATTTTTTCCATCCTTAGAGAAACTCCAACTCTTATCTTGCCCAAATCTCAAGGGATGGTGGAGGGGTGATGGTAATGAAGCTGCAAATGCACAGCTGCCTTGCTTTCCTTGCCTATTCAGATTTGACAATACGATGGTGCCCTAATCTAACCTCTATGCCGCTGTTTCCTTCTGTTCGGGAGCTGGATTTGAAAGAAACTAGCTGGAAGCAACTCCAAGAGACAATAAAATTGAAGATGACAACATCAGAAGAACCATCATCGTCTTCGTTTTCTTCACTTTTCCCTCCTTTCTCTAAATTGACAAAAATGTGGCTTGTAGATATCGAAGAACTAGATTCTCTAACAGAGGAGTTTCTACAAAACCTAACTTCTCTTCGGTCTCTGTACATTACAAGTTGCAGTAACTTGACATCAATGCCAAAGGGGATGCGCTTTCTCACCTCTTTACAAGTATTGAGTATTTCGGGAAGTCCCCAGCTACCGGAAAGATGCCAAAGGGATATTGGTGTGGACTGGCCAAATATTGCTCACATTGGAATGATTAGGATTGATGGGCGTGTGATTTGATTAAATCGGGTTCAGGCATGTAGGAACCTTCCATCGCTCACACAGGTTAAGCTAAAATTAAATCTTTTGCTAAAATTCCATTTTTTAGCTAAATTTAAGCAATTGACATATCACTTCCTTGCTATCCTCTTTTTTTTTTTTCAATTATTTTGCTTGCTTTTCGTTTTGTTAAAATAAAAAAAAATTGAAAGCTAATTTTGGTAATGTATAAATTGATGGAGCTCATCTTACTTTTTTTCCAGCTACAGACTTTGTTTTTCAAAATTTTAATAATTTTATATTAATTCTTAATTGTTCCCTTATTATTTTGTTTCAGTTATTTATAGATCTAGTAATTTATGTATTTTTGTACCTATTTAGTATCAAACACATAAAAATAAAAAAATTATTATATTATAATTTGTATCAACATGTCTAACATAAACATTTTTTTATTTTTTATTTTTTGTCAAATCTTCATTAATTTTTTTTTAACTATTTTAAATCGTAACATTTAAAAAAAAATTTTTAATCGCTTTCGTTTCAAGTCTAAAATTAATGGATCTAATTATTTGCTTATTTTATTAGATATTAATATTGATTAGAATTTCAATCACTTTTGATTGGCTTGAATAAAATGATAAAATAATGTATCATAAAATAGAAGCTAACAAAAATGAAGTTGGAATAATTTTTTTTAATTCAATTTAATTTTTAATTCTTATTCATACTTATTATGTCACATACTATTTCACATACTGAAATCTATTTGTAGTTATTGATTAATAGGAACTAATGAAATGATCTTGAGGTGATGTTATTTATTTTGTTTTCCTTCCTATCTCATTTTTTGATCACCTCCTAATTTTTCATTTCAAATTTTCAGTGTATCAGCGTAGGATAAATTATTTCAAGGCTCAGAATAGAGTGAAACTCGATGCTTCAGTTGCACTTGAATTTAAGAAATAATATCATCCAATTCTGACGTTGTAAGTCCCGCAAAATGAGGATTTAATCCAAGTTATATATTAGTTTTGTTTGATTAATTTGTTTGTTTGGTGTGCTTATTTGTTTTTCTTTCATATAGGTACTATTTGAAATACATTGAGTGTTATTTGATTGTACTTGTAATTTTTATTTTGTAATATGTAACTTAATTAAAAAAAAAAAAAAGAATGTGCCCTGGCATGCAAGTAGTATTGAAATATTCGGAACTTTTTGAATTGATGATGTAATTAGGTGCGAATGAATTTGTTTTATGTTCATCAATTCCATGTACCATCTTAAGTTGCTTGCTCATGAACAATCCATTTTACTACATTCCAATTGGGGTAGTAATTGGGAATGTTGAAAAGTTTTGCGAGAATTTCATGCATTCAGATCTCTTATGTCAATTGAGAGTTGCCAAGCAAAAGGAATTTCTTTTGAAACTCAAAAACTCAATTGATCCATTAAAGTTGAGTCAAAGGCTACCTCCATTATTGCTTCATTACATATTTTGATAACAAATATAAAAATGATAAAATTACATACTTTTACATATATTCTTAATATTACCATAGTATGTGTAATGATTAGATTCTAGAGTCTACACCACTAAACTGTCATATAATAAGTCTTTTTTTCAGTATTATGCATCGAACTTTTATTTTTAACCATATTTTCTAGCTCAAATATCCATTATACATATACACACGCGCGCACATGACACTAATAACCCCGTCACATGAGTTTCATATCTGGTTCAAGTTTAATAATTACGGTTCAAACCAAAAAAAAAGAAAGACAAAATGACACGAAAAAAGAACTAGAAGCAACTGTTAGGTTAAAACCTGTGATATACCTGTGATATAAAAAACTGAGGTGAAAAGCCACGAACTTCAAATTTCAAACCATTTGGCATTCTGTTGGCCCAATTCACTATTTTACAACCCCATGGCAATGCCAAACTTCGACTTAATAAAAAGCTCTTCAAAGGCGAAAAGAATTACTCATTTTTTAGGGAAGAAAGAAAGAGAATAGAAATGAAACAACTGGGAAAAAAAAGGATAATAAAATGAACAAAAAGAGAAAGAAGATTAAAGACAGTATATTATGCAAGTGATTCATAGGCGGCCAAAAAGAGAGAAGAAACATGAGTTCATTTGTCGTTGTGACAAATGACACATAATCAGTGATTCACATTTTGTGAAACCAAAGCTTCACAAACTGGGGTAGCAATTAAATAGAAGGGGATACCTTGTAGATTGTGGAAGCCACTGCAAACATCTTCAGAGTCAAGTCAATGCTCCCATTCCTTCATGGTTCTAGAAATCCAATGAACTGAAAACAACGTGAAATTTAGATGGTCAAAATCCAAAGATCTGGTAGTGGCTGTAGAAATGCTAAAAAACTATATAGTTTATGAGGTTAATATATTAAAGTGAAATATTTCCAGCAAAGCTAATTTTGTATCTTCTAAAGGAATGGCATCAAGTTGTTTTAGCAGTATGTACAACCAGTTCACATCGATATAATGGATCCCTACCATACATACATCCATATATTCATACACGCATACCATAACTATGCTCTTAACGATAAACGTTTACCTTAGTTCCAGCCTTCGACCAGCATGTACCATAACCTTCATCAACCCGTATCTCAAAGACAGCACCATGTGGTCGAACCAATATACACATTCACCAGCTAGAATTAGTGATCAATGCAGTATGACACCCATTGCAAGCAAGATTATCTTTTTTGATCTCGGAGAGATTAGGAAATAGGACAGGCACTGATTAGATGGTCAGTCACTTAAGGAATAATGAAGCTTCCATATGTTGTGTAATGCGTAATACTCAACATAGACCATTTATGCATCCAATAACAATTTTAGTTTTGTAATATTGGAAAGGTCCAACTTTGCACTCGGAGGCAAATCTATTAACTAATATGATTATCCTCTTCTCCATTCTAATTTGTTGCCCATATCTAAAGAAATGCACCTATCTTCAAATGTACACAAAACTAACTTCATGATTAAGTTCAAGGATCCCTTCAAACAAAGAAATCATGAAAATCTAACTTCAAGCAATTCTATAGTCAATATTAATGACACACATACATAAAACAAAAACAAATAAAATAGAGACAAAAAAAAAAAAACATGAAAGCAACATGATGACAAGTTGAATCCACATAACTCACCACTTCCATTTAAATTACCCCAGTACTTATCACTACTTCGATCAGCATGCTTAGCCAAGGCCCTAGCTCCATGAGTCAAGGTACTGCATTTGACCTAGAGACCACAAAAAGAAGAAAAACCATAATCAAGTCATACAATATATTAACGGCAAGAACGTAACACCTGGGTAGATTAAAATGTTTTGCTTCACCAGGTCAAAGACCAAAAGTTGAATCACAAGAAAGAAAAAAGGAACACCCGAACATACATTTATCTAGTAGTTCTTGCCCATGCATGGTGTGAGAAAAATATGAAAAGCCTCTTCTCACTGCACCACCAAGACTGTGGCGGTTCTTTGCATTTTAATTACAAACACCCTTTTTTATGGAGAAAAAGGATAGCTTTTCGATCAACATATCCAAGCCTTCTCATTTCTTTTTTTATTTGAATGCTAAAAATCATGCATACTAATTGCGACATGTTCAGTTGAGAAAATAAAAGAAAGTCCAATGTAAGGAAAAACCTTAGGGTAAAGAAGAAGAAAGGGAAAAAAGCCTTCTCAAGTCATTATCTTACATCTGGATTATATGGCAACGTAAATGATGAGAGAAGCGTTGATTTTGGCAGGGGGAGTGCAGCAGAAATTATTCCAGCAGTTTGCGCTAGACCCAGCAGGTTTTGAACACCTTCGTAACTCAGTTCCTGGATTAAAAAGTTAAACTTTTAAACGTTCACTTGGGCACTTATAAAATACACTCAGTTTTATTGGGAAAGTAATTGGTACGGACTCAATATTATCGGTTATATGGGAGTCAAGGAGGTAGTGCATATGTAGACAAGCATAAAGTAATAACACTAATGCTGATCTTGTAAGAAGTGAAACGACATCTGTAATCAGTCCTTAACTACATATATGAATGGCAATGAAATTGACCTCTCCGCCAACATGATTTAAAATTTGAAACAGGCAGAAATAGGCACATGCAGCTAGAAATAACTTTTATAACAAATTCAACTCCTACACAAGCTACAAGCATAAAGAGATAGTATGTCGTACATATAGACCCGTAAAAGGCACTAGCACATGGTGGATTCCTTTTGATTCACTGTCAGCGAAGATATAACTACAATTAATGTTAAGCAATCTGTTAATGTGGCCAACTAATAAAGTAGACATTGTCATATACAGTCAATTCAATATGTTTCATTTGCTAACATAATAAATCTCTATTACTCCAAAATTCCTTTTCTCTTATGCATATGGTCAGTAACCTTGCTACCATTATGGCATGATATAATAGCTAATATCAAGTTCCAGAAATCCTTTAAAATACAGCTCATACAATCATGTAATGATCTTGCTTGGATCTAAGATGGGTAAATATGGCTCTAACTCAAGGTTGGCTTCTTATGTTTTACTACATGTGG